AGTGCATTAAGAGGAATAGTATGCATGTTTTCTCCGCAATGCAGTCGGCCAAGGTGAAGAGTTGACTCACAGCTGCAAGACAACAGCTGCAACATGCATATTATCTTTTTCAGCCATTAGCAGAAAGAGAAGCATCTTGTTTTCTTAACCTTGCTTCACCTAGCCCGCAGCAGGGTTTACAGTCCAGCTATCAGCACTATAACAAAGTCGGTCTCCCCTGCCCCCCACAGCGGATAACCGTGCCCCTCCTCCCCCGGTCATGTCAGTTATTTCTCCCGGTTTAGACCCACCTTTCCCGGCAGCAGCTGCAGCTTCCTCCCGGTGTTTCTACCGTCTCCCGGCCCGGTACAGCTCGCCGTGTTTAATGTCGCTCGGTCCGGATGCCGCTTCTCTTCTGGAGGACTCCCATTGTCACAGCATCAGCACCACTGGACTCTCCGCTGGAGAAAAACCAAGGAAGAGACGCGTCAACCAATCAGCTGCTTCGGTGAGGACGCGTTAGCCAATCACCGCTCTCGTTGCGTGTTGGGTGACAGCCAGCTGGGCCAATCAGAAGCCTGGTCCACTGTGTTCGGTGCTTTGTGACCAATGGGATGTGTACAGCGTGCAGATGGAGTCAGAGGACTAGCATCTGGCTCAGAGATCAGAGGTTTCTGGAGGGTGAACTGTGGCTATGATGACTAATACAAAACATGCACTTAACCTACTTTTTCTTTTGGAAACTATTGCCAAAGAACAAAAAAACAATGTGTATATATTTCTGAATGATATTGAATCATTTGTACCAAGCATGAGCTGCAGAAAAACAATCAGATAGCAACACGGTTCTGTAGCAATGTGACTGTGTGTAACATGCGCATAAGCTATAAATTGAGTTGTATTCAAATGTTTGCAGGTCTGTGTTTAGTGAGTTAAACTTTCAACAATTACCTATTTTTTATTAAATAATGCAAAGTCTGCAATTTTAATGTACATACATGATTTAGATCCAGATGCTCCTGGGGCAGAAAAGCCACCTGCGAGATAGATGTATCACAACCTGGCAACACAGCTGTCTTGCAACTTATTAGGCATTAGTAAATGATAAAACCATTAATAAAGCGTATTTAACATGCATAAACAGTGGATACAGTGGTATCATTTTAATACAAAAACTATTTGGAAATACACTACAAATAAAAGTACAATAATAAGACAAGATGGAGATACAGTTTGTGAAATGGGACACTTAAAGGGGACCTATCATGCAAAATGCACTTTTGTACGTCTTGTATACATGAATATGTGTCCCCGGTGTTCCAGGGAACTCACCAAGTGTCAGAAAACACAACCCTCTCTATTTTCCTCCATACCCAAATCTCTAAAAACGGGGCTGCAACGGATCTGATAAAAACTGATCCAGATTTGAACATTTCTCTGACGTCAGGACGGAGGAGCTGACCTATCAGGGGAATGAGAGGTTGCCGTGGCATGGTAACAGCATGGTAACACGACGCTCATAACTCTGCCCCCTCCTTTGCAGGGGGGCGTGGTCAGCTGCAGCGCATGCAAAGACAGGGTGGAGGAGAGCAAAGAGAGCGAAATGAGGCATGGCTAAAATGCATGATCTGTTTGGTATTTTGAAAAAGAAAACGTATAAATATACCTTATATAGGTATGGCCCTACAATATATTATTCAAATATAGCAGACACCATGCTTTTGTAATTAAAAAGCATGAACATGTCAAAAATAGTCATTGTGAAATGCACAAACATGAGCATTTTGCTTTTTAGCAGCAGCCTCATTTTGTTTTACTCTTAAACCATGCCGTAGTAGAAGTAAAAACACTCTTTGGGAACTGCAAGCAAGCAGAAAGTCCAACAAACAAAGGCGTAAAAGCAGGGTATGCAGGAATCCTGAAGTCAAATGTAATACCTTTTAAGACCTTTTAAGACCCTTTCCATACATTTTAAGACCTCATCGCCACTTCCAGTTTTAACCGGTTACCTTGGCGACACACTTTACCTCACATTGACTATATACAGTATTGATTGTCCTTCCTCCTTATCTTCCAACCATTTGGACGCAGACTTGCATTTCCCCATAACGATGTCGTTTAACAACCGGCGTAAACGGACCTTCGTGCGCTATCAAGCAGTGAGCGTGCGATGTCCTGTTCAGATGACGTCAAATCCAACGGGATGCCATAAATAAACTACACAGAATCACACTACACACCTACGCAATGATTACATTCAGGCACACTGTAGGTAATACCTTGGAAAATGCTGTTTAATACTTTTTAATAGCTTTAATTTTCGCTAAATTGATTTATCAACTTTTAATACTTTTTAAGACCCCGCGGACCCCCTGAAAAGCTCCTTATTGTTATTGTACCGTGGGCTTTATTCTGCAATGGGATTGTTCTGCGGTTCAGAGTTAGCTGGCCGCTGTAATGCTTGATGACACACGGGTAAAGAGGTCAGACCAAGACGAGGAGAAAGACAGTTTTGGGTCACATTAACAATCTCTCGAGTGCCTGCATCTGGAGAAATGTGAAGAGACCACAGAAACATCCACCCTTTAAGTGTTTACGTAACAATAAAAGTACAATTATTTGTATTTCTCTCAATGTACATTTGGCTTTTTCAGCGAGGAGAGATGTCAGGCGGACACAGAGTCCTTTGGATGTTATTGTTTGGTTTTAATGTCAGTGTTACAAGGCAAACATGCTATGACAGTGGTCTCAGCCTGAGGCAAGGAGAACATTTGATGTTATAACATTGCCATCCAGTGACTGAAACTAATAAAGTTGATTGAAACATTCACAAGAACCAGATAATCAGAGGTGATATGTTAGCATCTGCTGCATCAACAATTACAGGAACATTAAAACAGTTCAACAAAGTTTCCTCTCTCAAAACACCAGCTTGCTTTCTGCCATTTTGAGATGTCACTCCACACAAGGATGTACTGCTTGTGTGGAGTGAATACAACTTGATACAAATTAGGATTCATAGATTTAATTTATATCAGAACAAATGTGAGATCTGACCAACATTTTTTTTTAGATTAAAGTCAGGATTCTGAGAAAATAAAGTACGAATTTTGACTTTTTTCCCAGAATTCTTAGAAAGGAAATTCTGTCTTATTTCTCGTAATTCTTAGAAAACTAAGAAAAAAATAATTTGGACTTTTTTCAAAGACTTCTTAGTAAACTATTCCATCTTTCTTTCTCAGAATTGTTGAAAAAAATATTTCTACTTTTTCTCAAAATTCTTAGAAACAGAATTTTTTCCCCCCAAAAAAATGATTGGAAAATGAATTCTGTCTTTTTTCTCCAAAAATAAAATTAAAATAAGTTTTCTTATTTTCGAAAGTTGAACTTTTTTGGTCAAAATTCGGACTCATCCTAGAATTCTGACTTTCTGTACAACAGATGGAGAACGTTTGATTTGCAATACACTACAGGTGATGATCTGATTTTAAACAAATACAAATGTGAAATTATCAGTTATTTTACTGGCACTGAGAAGTAGGTAAGCATCCGTCCTTGGATTGAATAAATCCATATGAAGCATCCCTTATTGCTACAGTATATATATACATTTCTACAATATGAAACAACAGTGTTCACAGGGTTGCTAGCCACAGAGGTACATGATGCTACATAATGATATTCATGCTATCATTCATAGCAATGTGAATGTTCTCACAGACAATACAGACAACAATCTGAGGAGTACATGTTCCACCATCCAGGTTAATTAAAGAATCTCTAACTTAGAGAACAGTGTAAAAACTAGTCACTGATAGACAAGAGACCAGTGGCGAGCCGTGAGCTTTATACCTAGGCCCTCTGACCCCCACCTCTTCCCTCGAAAAAAAGAAAAAAAATAGTTATTACGTCACAGCGTATACTTCAGCGGAATATCAAAACAACGGCCCAGGGTGCAAAACGCATCAATGACAGCGACCCTCTACCACACAAAACAACACCTGTGAACCCAATTTGTGTTCTTTGACATTGAAAATGATATTGCATTGTGTTTGTTACTTTCGTATGTCTTAAGTGTAATTTGGCATGCTTTTATTTTGAAGGCGAGTTCACGCTGTTGACAGGAAGTTGTTGTTGCTATGGAAACAAGAAAAGTGTCACAGCGGGCGGAACTCGTCATAAAGTCCGCGATAATAAAACCCACCCATTTAGAGGGAAGATATGATTGGTCAATTGTACTGTCATTTGACATTACTCTCTCGTTCAGTTACTATAGCGGGCCCTCTGTGAATCGCAGAGAGGCCCGCTATAGTAACTGACATTCAAACAGAGACTGAACAGGCAGATTCGAAGGATTTATTTCTTTGGAAATGTTATTTTATTAAATCAAGTTTTTTTTCGGTAAAACTAATGAAAAATATAACAAAAATAATATTAAAAAAATATATATTTTATTTTTTTTTAATGTTTTTAAATATTATTTTTGGGAATATCTTAGGCCCTCACAGAGGGCCTAGAGGGCCCTGACGGCTCGCCACTGCAAGAGACAGAACCCAAAATACAGAACCCATACTAAATAAAAATAGCAGCAGTATGAGATCAGAAATGTAAAACAATATCTACAGTATGTGAGTCAAGACAAGAGAAGTGTGCAGCGATACATTCAAGGTTTACAAAAATCTAAAACGCCATATTCACGCCATAAAGACAGTAACAGAAGTTCAATAAAGTAACAGTTTTATCCACAGTATCGAACACAAACAATGCATTTGACAGAATGTGTTTTAGCTTAATGATACTAAGAACCTGTGTTGATGTAATGCTGCTTTCCAGACAACTCAGGACTTGAACATTTCCCAAAATCTTCTTAAAAAAAGCACAATTAAACACCACTTAAAAGTGGAAGTTCCTGCTTGTAAACTCGAGCCCAATGAATTCAATCCTAGTTCAGGAAGAAGTGGTTGTCTTACGTCACAAAACAAGGGTATTGTGACTGGTGAACTATCAAAGAAAAGGCAGCGTGAAGTAAATATGCCAGTATTTAATGACAGTAATACATGATATCATACACTTAAAAGCTGTATTGCATGTACATTGAGATCTAAATATGTTGTGATGTAGCAAGTTACTGGGAGAAAACTCTAAAAGTGATCTCCTCTGCACCAAAATAAATCAGGGAAATATCACAAATGCTAAAAAGATATTTGAGCCAGCGCTATGGAGTTAGACACATCAGTTTATCATTGTCAATCATGGTTTTGTTATTACGTTTTGAGAGGTGTACCTGAACCCTTTGGATGTCAAATCTTCCGAAATTCAAAATGGATGAATGGGAAAATCCTGACCTTCGAGAAGGGGCTAAAATAATTAGAAAAGCAATTTATCTGTGATTATTTTTGACTGATATTGCAATTGTGATATGATTTGTGATTGATGACCTTTACACTATTAACTTATTATCCATTAACAAACAATTGATTACGTAGTGATTTTTAAGTCTGTAGTATATGATGTAAAGCCAGGCGATCTCTGCAGAATGATACACTTTAATATAGAAATGATTTGTTTTCAATACAATTGACTTCATTACTGTTCTACCTTGATTTGTCTGGAAAGCAGCTTAAGTTGAAGGGAGATTTAAAACCTTACAGATGAGGCTAAAAGGCCAGTTTGACCACTTTAAGTTAAATTGCAATAAAACAGTGTTTGTTTTCAAAGTGTCTTCACAGATTTCAGATCAGATCGCGAACTCCATGTCGTAGGCAGTTTGTTCTTTCTTAATGTTTTCAACGCTTATCTCTGCGGGGAGAACCAGAGGCAGCTCCAGCGGTTCCTCCTTCACAATGTTCTTCTTTACCGGCACGGGTTTGCTCAACATGTAGTCGTAATTTCTGTCCACCTGTAGGAGCGCCGAGGTGAGGAAGCGTGGAGAGAAGAGCTGCAGAGAGGGTCTGAGCGGAGGTGGTGGAGGGGGAAGAGGTTTGATTGAGAGTTGAAGAACGTCGCACATGCGTGGCTTTAACCTGGCAATCAGCGGGGGTTCTAATGACAGCGGTACAGGTATTAGCATCGGATGGATCTTTGGTAAGCTAACCGTGTGTGAAGCGGAAGGAATGGCCTCCTCCTGCACACGTTCTGACATCAAATATATATTTTTCGGCTCGGCGATGGACGGTTCCTCTTCCCACACGGGAGCAGACTCGGCGACCGACACGACAACAGTCTGTTTGTGGCGTTTGCAGAACATGGTGCCGCACTCTCGGCACTTCCTGTTGTCTCTGACGTGCTGCAGTTTGTGGCGCTTCAGGTTTTGGCTCGTAGCGAACGCTCGGTCGCACATGTTGCACGGGAACGACAGCTCACACTCGTGCTCGGAGAAAAGAGCACGACCCGAGAAGATCTTTCCACACGACTCACAGACGAAGGAGGCGTTTTCTTCAATCTCCTCCTCTTGTTCTTCTTGTTCTTCTTGTTCCTCGACGTGTTCTTCTTGTTCCTCTACTTGTTCTTGTTCTTCATGCAGCTTCTTGTGTTTCATTAGCTGTGATATATTAGTGAAGTTCTGATTGCACTGCTCACACTTGAACCCCCCGGCGGGCAGGAACACGCGTTTCAGGAACACGACGGGACTCATATTTGGTTGTAGGACGCCCGTTGGAGCTTTAAATGGTGACGCTGTTTTGTTTGGGCTTAATGTGGTTTCAGTTTCAGTCTCTTCAGTCAACGATTCTCCTGCCTAAAAAACACAGAAGAGGATGCTTGTATGCCGTCTTAAACACAACAGGTCAAGCAGGTTTCAACAACGTACATATAAGACTAAGACAAGAACAATATAAATGCATTGAAGACATTTTTTTACTATCATAGTGCCAACGTATGAACTATAGAAAGTGACATCAGAGTTCCAGCTTTGAATGAAAGCATGAAAACTACTTTTTAAGTAAATGTGCCACAATCCATAATATGTCACTTACATGATCCATTCAGATCCGATGAAAACATATTGATCTTTCTGAACTTCATTTTAACTCCAAGGAATGTGTAGGACTTTGTATCCCAGACCATTTAGGGCTTTAAACGCATACTATTAGATGTTAGACTTGGATATTGCTGCACAATAAGAACACAAAAAAGGTTAACAATTATTTTCTAAACCCATATAATGAATGCAGAAATAATACCTCTTGCAGTGATGGAGTTGGTGATTTCTGTATTTCCTCAAACAGATCAGAAGTCTGGAGTTCCTCAGGAGAATCAGCTCGAGGTGAAGTTGTTTCTTCTTCCGTTTTCATTTTGGCTGCACGGGGCCACCTCTTTCTACTTCCATAATCCCTTTAAAAACAACGTGAAAACTATTTAATCTGAACACACAAGACATGTCTCACTTGTATCTATCGTCAAGGTGGTAGGAGGAGAAGTTCACACCTTTTTAAAGCAGTGAAGTGAGCATTAACAGCGTGTTTCTGCACTGCATAATTATCCACAAACAGCTTCCTGAGCAACTGTTAACACAATCTGTGTTAAGACATATGCACAATGGTGTTTATTATCGCAGACAAACCTCACATTGCAGTGTAAGGCATATACATTAATTACTGAGACGAATAGTAACACTGCTTTAAGACATTTTACTTAGATGCAAAACACCAGATATCAGTGTTATAATTGTGTATGGCACCTTTTTGAAAGTGCTTGTTTTACCCGGTTTTAATACTCTCTAAAGCACATGTGTCAAACTCAAGGCCCGGGGGCCAAATCAGGCCCTTGGTGAATTTAATTTCGGCCCGCAGGATAATTTGTAATTACTATTAGATCTGGCCCTCCGGTATATTGCACGCACACCTTCACCCAATCCCGAGGATCTCCTCAGCTCAGAGCCTGACCCCAAACATTGATGAACTTGCACCCAAGATGAGATGCCAAGTATCTGGCTTGAGCTAGCATCACAGAGCAGCACACTAAGTTTCAATGGATGTTTCCTTCTGCACTTTGTTTCTTGCGACAACAGGGCATGTTTGGTTTGAAGCTGTTGTTGGCCTGTGGAAAAATGTAATCATAAGAAATGAATGCAACTGATTATTTAATGTTTAATGTTGTTTTTATAGGCAATAATTTAAGCTTTGTTAGTTCCAGGTTTAATATGTGCAATAAGTTCATTTCAATAAGCTTTGCAATACACATTGAACCAGTCCGGCCCTCGACTAGTACCCATTTTTTAATCTTGGCCCACTGTGTATTTGAGTTTGACACCCCTGCTCTAAAATATAAATGTTGTAATCATAATGTTGAAAATAAGCAAATCCTCTCTTATAAGAAGCTTAAACTGGATAATGTTGCACAAATGAATGATCAAAACAGGATAATGTCTGCTATTTGGGAGACTATTTTTGTCACAGCAGCAGTGTACATTGTAGTGTAATACATTACACGAGTTAAACATATTCAAAAAGACACAATAGTATACAAATATGATACAATAAAAAATAACATTGGCGGCAAGTGTATACAAATTCACACTAGGAAGGACATGTGTCACTAGAGTATCTTAAAAATACACAATGTAAAGAAAATATTGAATACTCAATATAGCATATACAGTCTCACTAAGCTACAGAAATATATAGAAATATACAACAGACACATACTAGCATTGGAATATTTAAACATGTTGTTTATGTTTGCTAGCTAGCTCACTTCTAGCCTCAGTGTGTGGCTCTCATGTGTTACTGAGAGGCACAAACAGCGATAAATTACAAGTTAACTTTAGTTATTTAGTCATGATTAATGTGCATTTCTTACCTCTTAACTTTTCTCTTGGGGCTCTGTTTAGTGGAGGGAAACACAGAGGGCACGAAGTCAGGGCTGTCGTGCTCCAGGGACAATTCCTCTACAAAAACAGAGGAAACAGAGATGGTTTTTACTCAACATGTAACAACAAATCTACCCACATGCTCTTAATGTAATAGCAGTGTTGTACATTTGAAAAAAGGCTCCCCATTGTGACGCCCATTGGTACAGTAACCATTCAGTGTGCGTTTCTTACTTGATATAAAATGAGCGCCACAAACTTTCGCGTTTGCTCTGATCTCCTCTCCGTTCACTTCTCGGATCCTTTGGAGCCATAACTTCCTCCGGTTCGCCTGAAACGGTCTGGTTCCGGTCGGGATTCTGTAAAACTTCAGTTTACTGCTTGAAGAATGTCGGTTTTTACATCCAGTCACGCAGCAGGCCGACATTTTCAATGAAAAAATGTGTTTGGTTTCGGTAGCTTCTGGAGCGGAAGTGCTGAACAACAACAAGAGTTACCACTTCCGTTGCCAATATGCGCGCGCAGCCTCGGTGAGAAAAACATTTGTTTGTAATGTTTAACAATTATTTAACAGTTTATTTATTTAATGGAAGCTTACAAGTGGAACAAGTTGGTATTTGTGGGCTGTTTTGTGTTAATGTAAGCAGAAACAAATACAAAAACAGCGAGGAAGGGTTTTGTTGTGCCGTCACACGGAGCATTGACGCCCCATGGTGGCGGAATACGGAACAACACTTTCACTGCAGTAATAATAAAATAAAATAAACAAACAAACAGACAGAGGTGTAAAGTAACTAAGTACATTTGCTCAAGAACTGTACTTACGTGCAATTTTGAGTATTTCCATGTTATGCTACTTTGTACTTCTTCTCCATTACAACCCCTGCAGTATGTGTGTGTGTGTGTGTGTGTGTGTGTGTGTGTGTGTGTGTGTGTGTGTGTGTGTGTGTGTGTGTGTGTGTGTGTGTGGCCTAGCATTACTATACTTGTGGGGACCTACATCTGTTTACACAGTCACGTGTGGGGACTCGCCTCCCTTATGGGGACAAAATGGAGGTCCCCATGAGGGGGATCATTAATTTTAGGGTGAAGACTTGGTTAGGTTTAGGGTTAGGGTAAGGCATGTGTTGGTTATGGTTAAGGTTAGGATAATACTCCAGGAAATGCATGTAAGTCAATGTAATGTCCCCTGAAGTGATGTATACATGGTATGTGTGTATGTGTGTGTATTTGTATTTGTATGTGTATGTGTATGTGTATGCGTGTGTGTGTGTGTGTGTGTGTGTGTGTGTGTGTGTGTGTGTGTGTGTGTGTTTTACCTCCTAATTAATTGATGTTTCCTTTGTCTGCACTCACAAGAAGTGAGGTGTCCTTGGTCTTGTTCAGACTTTGAATTACAATAATCAAAGCACTAAACCTTGAGCATTCTCACAAATAAAGTCTGAAGGGCACTTTAAAACAAAAAGCGTTTAAACATTCAAGTATTCCCTCTGCAGAGCCACACCTTAAACACATAATGAATCCTCCCTGAGCTGCAAAGACAAACACAGAGCTGGCTTTAATCCTGCCAAATGTTGTTTTTATTTGTGAAGCAACATAATGCCCTCTATGGTGCTTTATCTCTGCCTTGAATCACCTACTTCTCTGTCTTTATATTCAGAAAAACATAATATACAATTAAATTGCCTTGGAGTTTAACGTCACACTATTTTTACATTTCCAACACTTCTTAAGTAAAACCTATTTTCAGTTCAGTGTGACAGTGATGGATAAACTGCAGGCTTTGCCATTTCATGCACCAGCAATTTTACACAGAAGACATTTTGATTTGTCACAGCAAGTGTAAAAGTGGAAATGATAAAATTAATGATGCCTTTTGAAACACTTGGATAAAACAGAGGCATCATTAATGTTATTAGTACCGCTTCTGCATTTAAAGGTCACCTATCATGCTATTTTTAGGCAATAGCATAGGTCTCAGATATATAAAAATATATAAAAAACATGTCTATGAAGTGTTTTGCTCAAAATACCAAACAGATCACCCATTCTAGCCATGCCTCATATCCCTCTATTTCACTTCCTGTTTCTAAAGTGCTGATTTTGGGTATAAAGCTTTAAAAAAATAAAAAATTAATACAAAATAAAAGAGGAGGGGGCTGAGCTCATGCGGGACCCGGCAGCTACTGTCTAAACTAAATACTGCGGTGATGAAACGCCATATCATGGATTATCAAGGATTGTTTCTGAAACAGTATGGAGCTCAAAGGCTTTCTCTCTTGCCGGTTATACCACAAGGTGAGTTCCTTTTTATTTCCTGCTTCTTCACACACATGCTCTCCAGTACAGGTTAGCTCTGAGTGTTAGCGATGCTAATGTAAACACCGACCATATTACGTCCAAAACACGTCACGCATTGTTTCTGATAGCAACGTTTCTGATAGTGCCGTGAGTCCACATTTCCGATATTACGTCATATCGGACGCAAATCTGGATCAGCTCCGTTGTAGCCCCGTTTTTAGAGATTTGGGTACGGAGGAAAAGAGAGAGGGTTTTATTTTCTGACGCTGCGTGAGTTCCCTGACACACCGGGGACACATATTTATGTATAAAAGACATAAAAAAGTGCATTTTGCATGATAGGTCCCCTTTAATACTACGGCGAGTGAAATGTCTGGCATATCCTACAATAATACATGCATGTAAATGTCAAACACACTACATTTAAATAATTAAACATGCTTATACATTCCAACATATTAAGTAAAGTTAAAGAATAAGGCTCAGAATATTATATATTTGTATTATTGTTAACAAATCCTATTGAAAAAAGAATAAAAACTCAAGTGTGTTCGTTCGTGTCACACTATTTTCTGGATGTAAATCTTTTAAAAACACACATATATATATATTATTATATATAAGAGATCCGTGGCTTTTGCTGCACAGATGAATTCATAGTTGGTTTTGGTATTTTTGGGGGGAAAAAGTGAAATAAAATATTTTACTACTGTTATTTGTTTCAGTACTCTACCAGCAGATGTCACTGTTGTGTAAAGAGGGGAAGTTTACTCTTAGGAGTATCAGGATTTCAAAATAAGACTAAAATAAAAGTCTGTTTGCTGCTGCCTTTTATTAAATAACTATTTATATCTTATATTGCATTGTAACTTTTACTATTTTATAAAAGTTATGCAATATTATGTTTGAGCTTGTTGTTATCTGTAGTCTTTACATGACTGTTTATTTTATTTTTACAATGTGTTTTCCTCGTTGTTAAATTGTGTTATTTATGAATGAGAATATTATTTAATTCGCTTTCGTGACAGTTGCATTTTAGACATTTTAGAATTGAATAATAAATATATAAATAAAAATAATAAAAATATTTATATACATTTCTATACATATTTTTGTTTAAAGGTAGGGTAGGTAATTTTGGAGAAACCAGCTCGAGTGCGCTAGAATTTGAAAGTACGCAGCCGAAAAAAATCTGCCCCTTCCTTCAGACTTCCTTAAAGAGCCCCTCCTCCAACACACACGGACGCGCACATGACCAATGAGGGCACGAGATAAGTTTGTGCACAGATGGAAGGCTGACAGGCAGGTAGGCCATCCAGTTATTTTAGCCGGGCCGGCTCAGATGATTGGTCGTGCTTTTTACAGTACTACGGCTTCCACAGATGACATTTTTTATGTATTTATTGTCACAGCACTTAAGATATTCATTGCTATCGGGATGTTAAGAGCATTCCATGGAATATAACAAAAAGTGTTTCTGAAGTGAAGTAAGTTTGAGAAACCGGCTCGAGATACACTTTTTGTTATATTCCATGGAATGCTCTTAACATCCCGATAGCAATGAATATCTTAAGTGCTTTGACAAAAAATCCATAAAAAAATGTCATCTGTGGAAGCCGTAGTACTGTAAAAAGCACGACCAATCATTTTAGCCGGCCCGGCTAAAATAACTGGATGGCCTACCTGCCTGTCAGCCTTCCATCTGTGCACAAACTTATCTCGTGCCCTCATTGGTCATGTGCGCGTTCGTGTGTGTTGGAGGAGGGGCTCTGTAAGGAAGTGGCAGATTTTCTCCGGCTGTGTATTTTCAAATTCTAGCGATCTCGAGCCGGTTTCTCCAAAATGTCCTACCCCACCTTTAAGTAAAAGAAGATAAATAAATAAATAAAAATATAGGCCTATATACATTTATTTAATTCATAAATATATTTTTGCATAAAAATGTCATATAAAATAAAATAAAAATATATATAAAAAAAATAAGAAGTTAAAGTAAGTATTTGAAGAAAATAAAAAAAATAAAAAAATATATAAAGTAAAACAGAATTAAAAAAAACAATATAAACCCAAGAAGTTACATTTAAAAAATGTGCACCGTGCACAACAATATTTAAAATAAATGAAACAATATAAACAGTGTATTTGATAAGACACAGCTGTCTCTGTGTTCAGGATGCTTCTTCATATCTACAAGCGTTTGACCGGAAAATAAATACATTTGCATTGCCACTATGTCCCCTCCTTCCCTCCTCCCTTCCTCCCTCCCTTCCTCCCTCCCTCCTCCCTCCTCCCTCCTCCCTCCTCCCTCCTCCTCTCCTCCTCCCTCCTCCCCTCTCAAGGTGACTCCTCCATCTGCACCCCCTACTCGTGCCAGCGCCTCCCCCCCTCTGCAGCACCGATCCTGGGCTGCGATCCCTCTCTTCTCCCCTCTTCTGTCACCATCTCACCTCCATGTTGCCTTAGTGTTCCTGCAGCTATTCACATCAAGCACACACACCCCTGTGCTGCTTTGTGTGTGTGTGTGTGTGTGGTGTGTGTGGGTGTGTGTGTCTGTGTGTGTGTGTGTGTGTGTGTGTCTGTGTGTGTGTGTGTGTGTGTGTGTGTGTGGTGTGTGTGTGTGTGTGTCTGTGTGTCTTGTGTGTTGTGTGTGTTGTGTGTGTGTGTGTGGTGTGTGTGTGTGTGTGTGTGTGTGTGTGTGTGTCTGTGTGTGTGTCATCAAAGAGGCTATTTCTACTCTTATTTTAATGGGAAATAGCGTCTGAATATATATTGTTTACCTATTTCCATAGTGTTTTTTGTTTTTTTATCCCATTCATCTTTTCGTCCTGTGGAGTCGAGGCGTGTCTCTGGCTGCACAGCATCCACATTTTAATTAGCCTCTTCTTCACCCCGCCCCGTGTCGTTTTAAGTGGAGAGATAGAGGAGGAGGGGGGAGGGAAATAAAGAGGAGATTGAGGAGAGAATATATACTCAAGAACATGTGAGAAGGGTGGGGTGGGTTGTGGCCTGTTTTTGGGTGAAGGGGGAGGAGACGAGCCAACCTGTGTCGACAAGTGGGACAAAAACTCAACAGCTGAAATACACTGTGTATATTCAATTAAAATGATTGGTTCTTTTTTAGATTAATATTATTGAAATATGAAGTACATTACATGTCAC